TTCCCAGAGAAGTTCCCTATCTACCCAAAAATGAAGGAAGTAAACAGAGAAACTTCAGGAATACAGAAATAAACTAGTATTTATTCCATTTTGCTATTGACAAACAATTCCTGATCCACCTTAAAGAAATATCCAATATTTTAACAACTCCTTAGAACCTGTAACTGCACATCATCCAAGATCAGCAAGTGCTAGAATTTCACTTTTCCACTTGGTGAACAGAAAGAAGGAGGAGAGAAATGGCTGAGATATCAAATGAGGATACAGAAAAATTAATGGAGTGCTTTTTTCAACAGTATTTTATTACAGAGAGGCCCCTCAGACTTTAGGCCCACTATGACCAAGTATTAAAATTTTTAAAGAGACATTACTTGCAACGACTGCCTTGTTCTCTTTTTCTCCTTCTCCTACCTTCACATATTTTTCTGTCTGTACCCTACACGTGAACAGCCTTTTTCCTCTGCCTTTTCCTTTAGCTTTGTGTTTTGCCAGCCTTCCAACAGCGACCCCTGAGCACTGATTCCATTTGTTCTCAAACCTGAACTAGTCTGGTTTATGTCACCTCATCAGTTCTGATCACCTCACCTCAGGGAAAGTGTCTTCTCTTCCCACCTGTTTCTAAAATCTGCTACAGAAGAGACAATAAATGATGCCTCCTACTCAACTAAAGTCCAAAGCCTGTGAAAATACAAGTTATCTACATGCCTTTGCTCGTCTTATACATTAGTAATGAGTCTGGAATGCTTCCCCACAGCAATTAAGACACTTTCAGTTCAAATTACTATATTCTACCATCGAGGTTTTATTCCAAAAAAAAAAAAAAAAAAAAGTCACACATCTATTAACATCTTACTATATTCTGCCATCGAGGTTTTATTCCGAAAAAAAAAAAAAAAAAGTCACACATCTTCTACTAACATCATGACTGAGAACTGTACAAATAACTCCAAGACTGCAAAAGGCACAGCCACAAAATGCTTCTTGTCCTCACTAGTTTACTCAGCTTGTTAGGGTGAGTTACAGGCACAAGGGTTAAGGTAGAGAGAAACACCACTCACAACGAGATAAGAGTTTCAGTGCACCAGAATACACATATGTAATAACAATTGTTATTACCTCTGTTAGAAACAAAAGACCTGGGTGTTTTTGTGTTGTTGGTGGGGAGGTGCTGAAGGAGGTGGCGAAGGAAGGACAAAACTATCACCACAACCAGTACCACGGAAAGGTCCAGCATGTCAAAAAGATTGCAAAAAAATTTGCTCTAGAAGCTATCTTGTAGCATTTATTCATTTATTAAGCTAAGAAAATCAAATATTCATAATGTCAACTTGGTAAGTGAAACATTCAGCCCATTCTGAAAAAATGTTAAAATGCTGCCTGACTATGTCATTTCTCTTCAAAACACTGATGTGGGATGAAAAATATAACAAAGGTGGCTTGTTCCCAATTCACTCTGTGCTCACACAAATATTTACTCTCCTACTTTATCAATTTAAAGTATTGCTGTAGAAGAATAGGCTTCAAAAAGTGCTTCTCAGAGCATCTCTTTTTATAATACTGCATTGCAAAGAGCACAAGCCAAAGGTTTTTAAATATTACCTTCATAGAGAACTTCATACTCAGTGGGAACACAGCTGTATCCTTGGATCAAGCCTGGAAGGCATTCCTTACAGAAGGAGTGGAGGCAGGGGAGCATTCTGGGCTCCCTCCTCCGCAGCTCCCATTTGCACACCAAACAATTCCACAACAGATCCAGGGAATCCATTCCTGCTGGCTGAGGTCCGGCCCTGAAAACATGGAGAGTCACAAAATGGCTCATGGCCAGCCCTGCACTTCACAAAACACTCGATCTCTCAAGTGCAAACCAGAGGGCAACCCGGGATGCACGATCAAATAAACATCCATGCAGCCCCTGTGGGAAAAATAGTTCCTTGCAGCTGAAGATCACATACCTGCTTTACAGAGGAGAATATCTTTGCAGATTGTTGTGCAGGAAAGCGTGGTTTAAGGTTTACAAACCATGATCCCACTATCTCTAGTATTTGCAACTTCTGTAAAAGCTGAACTAATCTGCCTTATCGATCTGCTTACAAAGCTGAATTGTCACACGCTGTACACTTCCTGCTAGAAGCACTGAAACTGTGCAATTAAAATGATGATATTCTCTGGCTGCTTTTACAATTACACTCAAATATTTTACAGTTTTCAGGTAAAGATAATACCCATAAGTCCATCATTTCAGCAATGCATGTAAGAAAGCTGCTTTGAAAAATGTACAGCTTCTTCTGACAATCTTCTTTATAGAAAAAGCACTTTGCAGTGATCAAATTTTAGCTACCAAGACGACCACAGATCAGATTATAGACCAAACCTGAGCTTCCCAGTGTTCCTCCCACCAGCCCAAGCTCCCCAAGGTCAACTGAGAGTTTTGCAGTTCATGTTTCACCCTCAGCTCTGAGATTGTCAGAGATGTGGATCAGATACAGACTGCAAAGGGCAGCTCCTGCAAGATGTATCAGAGGAGAAAAAGCAGATAAATCCTCATTTCCTCTGGAGCCACCCTTCCAGGTGATCCAGCCTGCTGGGACCAGAGTCCCATGGAGCTGCTGATGGCCCTGGCTACCAGCAGGATGGAATTGAAGCTACAGGAATTAGCTTCAATCTCCAGATTTACGCAGCACAGAAGAGCAGCAGCTCTAATCCTAGGGCTACCTCTTCTCCTGAGGGATTCTGTCTTCTTGTAGATTCCAGTGGAAATCTACCAGCAGATCTGGGTTTGGGTTTTTATTCTGCAATGCAAAAAATTATGAGTGTCTCAGAAATTAACAACCAGTTTTTTTTAAAGCATTGTATCCTGAAGTCTTCAGTATTTAATATATTTTAGAAGAAAAATGGACCCTATGTTAAGTCTGCATCCTATTTCATACCCAAGACCCACTCAACTAGGTAGATACCCACCAACTTGACTGACAAATTACTTAGATAAATTCAAACCTACCACTAAAACTCCAGATTCCAATTCCAAAACCAGAGTGCCCTTTGGAGATGAGATGTGCCTGTGGTTTAATTAACATTTTATCAGTGCCTCTTACACGAGCTCACTTTTTACAGTGCATCTTCATCAACCATCTCTCAGGGGCAAATGTCACTGAAGCAGCACAGCCTCTCAGCTCACTTCATCTCTGTCACTTCTGGCAGCTCCTGTTGCTAAGACAAAGTTGCACCTACAAAAACAAGTAATGTCTGCAGTAGGAAGTTGAGGTCTGAAACTACCACAATGTTGACACAGAGAAACCACAGCCCAAAGCATCCATGCACAGGGAACCAGTGCAAACAAAGCCCCATACTGGGAAATGCTCTGTCACCTTACAAGCCAAATCTGGGGCTGGGTGAGCAGAAGCAGGTTACTGCAAATTTCAATTTATGCCTTTTGAACAACAAGCAAAACTGAGTAGAAGTTTTTCGGTAGGAAGGGGAAGAGGGGAAAAAAAGTGTTTAAAATTTAGTTCTGAGGCAGGTAGGCACAGTAGTAGTCAAGCAGCTGGAGGAGGAGAAGGCGGGTGAATAAAATGAGCTATAAGAATTCTGGCCCAGAAAGAGAACCCAGGGAATGACAGGCCCGACACTGGTGCTGGGGAAGGTCATGGCACAGATCATGTCAAGCACCATGGACTGACACTTGTGCAATAGCCAGGGCATCAGACCCAGTCAGTGTGGCTCATGGAAGGCAGGTCCTGCCTAACCAACCCCACCTCCTGCTCCAACAAGGTGACCCAATTGGGGGATGAGAGAAAGGCTGGAGCAGTCTGTCTGCCTGGACCACAGGAATGCCATAGACACCACTTCCCACACCTTCTCCTGGTGAAACTGGCTGCCCATGGCCTGGAGGGTGCACTGGTCACTGGAGAAAGAACTGGCTGGATGGCTGGGGCCAGAGAGTGGGGGATGGAGCTACAGCCAGCATCACAAATGAGGAAACAGCAGTCCCAGCAGCCAGCGAGACAGTTCCCAAACTCTTCTGGATTTTGGAACAAACTGCCCATTTATGTCACAAGCAGCAGGACCACTGGCTAAGATGAACTGTTTTATAAATGGAATGCACATCAACCTCACCCTAAAAGCCCTTTAAATTTAATTGCTGCCAAACTCTAGGTTAGAAGCTGATTAACTAGGACTCCATCACACACATACTAGAGGGTCATGTGCACCAACTTCAGCAGCAAGCATGAAACCAGTGACAGTGTTTATAGGCCCCTGGGCTGACACTTGAGAACCTGCTCACTGGCTTTAGTTATTTGTTGTTACTTTTTCCATCAGATCCTGCTTTGGCACACAGGGCCAAGCCTTGCGGACAGCAGAAGTCCTACTTTGATGTTACAACCAAGCACGGAGTATTTCAGGTTGTCATTTAAACCCAGTGCATCAGCACTGCACACAGAGCAGCTCCAGAGCTGCGCCATTGCTTTGCCAGCTGTAAGGAAGGCTGGGAATAGCTGGCACCAACTCTGTCCCACAGGTGGGAGCAGCAGGAATTGCACACCCAGCCTGGGGAGGGCAGAGATTGCAAAAGTCAGTTTACAGTTACTGGTGCACTGCTGTCACTTTGCGTTTCTTTGTCCACACTCCTGCTGTTCCATTCCCACAGGCCAGGGCACCATCCCCAGAAATTTCCCCTGGATGTCATTTCAGTGTTCAAGAATCCTCATCAAAATCACACCAAGTCCTCTTTTCAGACAGCTGTAGAAAGGATCACTAACAAAAGAGCAGCACAAATACAGAACTTAATTTTGCCACCCTACAAAGACAAAACAGTGAGGTACATGGCAGTACCTCACACTGATGAGGCACGTGGCAGGCACTGAACATTGCAGTCAGGTAATTTCAAAATAAAGTGAGCAGTCAAACCACTGATCAAATATTATGCAGGTAAGATTAAGTGTGAACTGTGTCTGGAGAAATCAGGAAAGAAAAAACAGAACAACGCAACTTCTGTAAACCAGTTCATTTTATGCATTGTTTATTCAAAAAATTTGAATAAAACAAAAACTTTTATGCCACAAGCACACAGGCACCACCAACTTCTTTGATCTTCTCCTCTGCTCTTCTACTGAAGAACTTGGCTTTCACAATGACAGGCTGCTTGGGCAGCTTCCCCTTGCCCAGCACTTTGTAGTAGCCCTGGGAAGATTTAAAAAAGAAGCTCAGTGTTAGTAATCAGCGGGCAGGCCCCTACATTCAGTCCTGTTAACACACACCGGTTAAAAACAGAACTATGATCACCATGACATTATCCAGTTAATTCATTACATTAACGTGACATGAGGTGAGAAGTGGGCCCTAAGTGGCCAACAGAGGCAGAGCAGTGTCCCTGATTCGGTGGCTGGCTGAGACACGGGACATCAGAGCCAGTGAATATGGATCAGCTGTTTCTGTCCGAGAACTATAGCACACCAAGACAACCAAACATGTGGAGATGTGACTCTAGTCTCGAGGGTGACATGGTGTGAGATAGTCTACCACGGTTTTGTTCCCTCAGGAACATTTCAAACCAGCCATCCTCCACCACCTACCCGAAGGAGGGCAGTGCCTGTCCACAAACACACACCAGCAGGACAAAAAGCTCTTACAGGGAAAAATGTAACACTCCAAGCGTTTATGTAACTACTCACAGCCCAGGATCTGGCTGCGAAGCGCTGGAGCTCAGGCGCAGCTCAGCACTTGCCCAGCAGCACCGGCAGAGCCCGGCTCTCGCAGAGGGCAGCACTGCAGGCTCAGCCCCAGCAGGACTCACCGAGCGCACCACGTCGATGACCGGGGCCAGGCCGGCCTCGTTCTTGGCGTAGTTGAGCCGGGTCTGCTCGCTGACCAGCGTCCACAGCTTGTCCAGGTTGACAGTGGGACAGAACTTCTGGTTTCTCTTCAAGTGGTAGTGCCTCATGCCCACTTTCCCGAAGTAACCAGGGTGGCTGTGGGAGAAGCACATTCCTCATCAGATCCCACTTTTAACTCACCCGAACAAGCAGAACTCTAAACTAACACTGAAACGAGCAGCTTACAAAATCAGGGTACCAGAATGTCACACTGCACCTTTTTCATACAAACATGTGTAGAATTTAGGTGCAATACTGATTAGTATCCAAACCAAGGAACAATTATGCTCTCTCTAAGTGCTCCTTCTCCCTTGAACTCACACCTCTATCCCGCTCCCTGCTGAGGCTGTATTTCCAGGGAAACCCCACCTGCAGGGAGGGCTGTCCTGCCTGGAATGTTCTGGCAGTGCTGTCACTGACCCGGTGACTGACTGAGCCAGGCAGGGCACAGCCAGTGAATAGAGATCAGTGGTTCCTGTCCGAGGACTCCAGCACACCAGGACCACAGGCAGGGCCCAGATGTGACTCTATAGTCTCGGGAATTGGGAATCAGAATGTCCCTCCCCTGTACCCGAGGCAGCCAACAGGATTTAACATCCCATTCTGAATCTGCTCTGTGTGCACTGCTAGGCAGGGACCACACTCTAACAGGCAAATGTGGCCAGCTTTACCTAACACTACACTGAGCTCTCCAAAATACCAAGGGAAAAGGTTTTCGATTTTAGGGTTAAGTGGGGACACGAGCTACACTGAGCTCTCCAAAATCCCAAGGGAAAAGGTTTTTGATTTTAGGGTAAGTGGGGACACGAGCAGCTGTAATGCCATGCTTCCATTAAAAGAAAAAACACACAGAATTGCAGAAAATTTTCCTTATTCACATATAAAAGTCAGTTGCGTCTACTTCAGGAACATGCATGTTGCTAGTAAATATTTAAAACTTTAGCTTACTATTTATCAAAGTTAATCCTGTGATGGTGCAAACCACCAGCATTACCACGTCCTCCAGGATGCTTCCTGTGTTTGCCTGAGAAGAAAAATTTTAAGCTTGTTACATTAAGATTGCACACAGCAGTTAGAGATACCTTCAATATCAACTTAAACTAATTGTTTTATGTTGTGGTGTGCCACGCTTGGAATGGACAGAGTCGGAAGGGAGACTGCACTGCCCTGTTAGTTGAAGATGTCGCACACCCCGTACCGACGGGCTGAGCAGCGCTCAATTTACAAACCCAGGGACTCTGAAACGTGCAGGGCACGATCAGCCATCACCGCGGCAGCTGCCCCCGCACGCTGCGGCCTTCAGCGCTGCTCCACATCCGCACGGTGCCGGCGGGGCCCCGCACCCACAGCCCCATTTTCATGGATCCGGGAAGAGCAGCAGCATTCCCCCAGCGCCGGGGCCGCGCCGCCGCAGCCCAGCGCACCCGCGCCCGCCTCCCCACTCACCCACGCGGCCGTGGCCGTGGCTGACGTGTCCTCTCAGCTTCCGGGTCTTCCTTAGCCTGGAAGGCTGCGGGGAAGGGGGACAGCGGCCGTCAGCGAGCGCCACGAGAGCCCCGCGCCCGCCCCGGGGCCCGCGCTGCTGGGCGCCATGGCGGACCGGCCTCCCCGCACCGCTGCCGCCCGCCGCGCGCTCGGAGCCGCGCCTCCCCACCACCCTCGGCTACTCCGCAGTCCCGTCCCGCCGCGGGAGCGAGGGGCAGCGGGCGCGGGGTCGGGATCCCGATCCCGATCCCGATCCCGGTCCCGGTCCCGGTCCCGGTCCCATCCCACCCCATCCCATGCACAAAGCCAACTGACGGCCGCAGCTCCCACCATCTTGCCGGCGTGCGCGAGGAGAGAAAGGGCGCGGCTCTCGCGAGAGCGGGCAAAGGCGCGCGGGGCGGGGCCGAGATCTCGCGAGGCTTCGCTGAGGCGGGAGCGGCGGGCGGAGCTCTGAGGGGCCGCGCCCCGCCCGCAGCCCAGTGCCTCTCCCTGTCCGCTCAAAGAGCGCAAAAGCGGCGTTTTGAACAGAATTTAGGAATATTTGCAAGTTTGGTCACTTTATTAAACATCCATACAGTGGGGAAATGAACACTACGTCCTTAAGCACGATTACTTCACACTGGAGTGTGAATTCCTGGAGTGTTACTGTTTCTTAAGCTTGGCTTCTAGGTTTTGGGTTTTTTTAATGGATTTTATACTGTTAAGATTTTAAACAAAACTTTACCAATTTTAAACACAGGCCTCAGCACTGGATTTATTTTTCTTTAGAATTTTCATGACGCACTTACAACGTTCCATGCTCGGGAACACCATTAGTTTTAACTAATTTAGTAGGGAAAATAACGCATTTCTTAGTTTTTGTTCATCTGATCCCTTCAAGCACAGACCTCCAGGCAACACGAGGGTTGTTTCACACAGCTGTAGCCTGAGGATCAAAAAGGCACCCACAGATTTTTTGGGCCATGATCTCGCCTTGTCCAGTGGTACCCTCTGATTCACATTACAAAAATGGGAACACGCTGACAGATAACACAATGTTTAAAAGCTTTCTCCTTTAATTTTTAAAGTGCAAATGGAGCAAAACAGCTTTGGCACAGGAGATGGGTTTTACAGCACAACATTCTTGTACATTGGCATTCCGTGGCTTTGTCTTGCCTTTGCAGTAACTCACAGCATGTCCTGATACCGTTTGATCCATCGTTTTCTGAAGAGGAATTACGTATTTCCCCCTACATTCACTAGCAGCTGCTGTTTATAAAAAGGCCAGAAGCCACCTGTACAAGTGACGTTACTCCTTCCACTCTCAAGAATTACATCTAGCAATCATTCTGCAGCTTGGAGCAGAGCAAAACTAATGGAAGTTACCAGTTGTGGTGACATTTCCTCTGCAGCAAAAGCACCTGGTATTTTACAGACATTTCGCCTACACTTCAGAAGCTTTTGTGTATTTTGGAGTGTGAGGCAGGTAACTGAAGAAGGAAACGACTTCACCTTTTCAGTGAACAGCCCCTGGAATTTGCTCTATGAGGCTGATAGCAAACCAGAACCACTGTCAGGTTAGGAACTGCGCAAGCCTCAAAGCCCGTCTAACTACGGCACTCACGCTGAGAATGACGAAAACCAGAGCATGGTGGGTTTCCTTTAAAGGTAACAGGCTTCAGCTAATTTTCATTGTCTGTCAGACTTGCAACATATTGAAGCATTTTATATTTTTTTTTAGTATTTTCTTCTTCAGACTATGGGAAAACTTACAGAACCTCAACAGGAGTTCTATTTCCAGATCAAAGAAGAATGTGACTTGAGCACCACACACAGCACAAAGCCAACTGAAAATACCCTAGGTCAAGAGCAGTATCTGTGACACAACGATAAAATCATTTGCTGCTAACCCCTGAAAAAAATAAAAATGTTTTAACACATGCTTCTGTTGGGATAAAACTTTTAAAAAGGGGTATAAAATGCCTTGTCTTAGCCCTGGTGACACTGAAGAATCCCCAAAATACATGATGTGAAATAGCAAACCTACCAAAAGACAGGTTCGTAATAACCACTTTACATTTTAATTACAAATTCATTTAAAAATCACAGGTGAGTTGCTGCGTTTGTACCTGCTCCACATGAGGAAGTGCAGAGGTTTGCAATGAATATGAACAAACAGCTCTATTTACAGAGTTTATTAGGATCCATCCATCCATACATTAGGAAAGGCTGTACTGTACCTACTCGCTGCAGCTTGCACGGCAGAGAGCTGCGGCCTCCCCAGGCTTAGCATCCTAGTGCACAGTGGGTTACAGGGAGTTTAGTGACCAGAGCTCCAACCAAGTGGAGGTTCTGTAATGTGAACCAAGTACCTCATTATCAAGTTACTTTGTTATTTCTCTTTGAAAATCAGTTCGAAGGAAACAGACAGACAGACAGACAAGCGCCTGTGCCGCACGCCCCGTGCGTACAAGATCTCCCACGTACCCGAGCTCATTCACCCCGCAGCGTTCAGGCATCAAACATCCCTGGAAGTCAGTGGTTCTGCTGAGACAGTCAGCTGCACAAAATCAGCTACTCGTTTTTGCACCAAGCATAACTCAACTCATACTAAAGAAAAAAAACAAGCACCTGGTATTCTCAGGAATATACAAATATTTACCACAGTTTTCTCGCTCATTACAAAATCAGTTACAAAAGCTTACAGCACATTATGTACAAACTCTGCCCAAAAACACGGAGGAGCCATCACGTGGCACACTGACACAGCATCCACGGATCATCGCCTGGAGCTGCCCCAGCTCGCTCCGCTCTCCTCCCGCTCCACACTCCAGCGCCGCAGGTGTCTCGCGCAGTGCCATAAACAGGTTTTGGGTTGGTGTTTCAGCAGGAAGGAGCTAGTTCTTCTTGTGAAGGAACTTCATTTTGTTACCTAAAGGAAGCACACAGTCAGTCTCCAGCAGACAGCAGAAGTCAACCCAAATTGACAGCAAATGGGTCTAACTTGTAACCAGCACCAGCAGGGAGAGCTGAGTTACAGAACACCGACTGCTCCAACCCCTTCCTGTTCCACTCTGATTACGCTTTGGTTCCCCCATCCCCGAGTCAAAATGAAAGTGTTAACAAGGACCGTCATTAAATCTGGTTTTATCACCTCCAACTATAATTTCATTGTTTTCTTTTTTTAATTCCTATCACGCTGAAACCGCTGCACTACCTCATTTCACCTCGGGTACGGCTTTTTCAAACGAAAAAACAAACAAAAAAAAAAAAAACCCGAAAAACACCACAACCAAAACCCACCATCACCTGAATGAAAATTCATTTCAGAAATACTTCTAAAGGTTTTCCTCACCGAGGCCTCGCAGGAACTTGTTTACTCCGCTTTGTTCCGTGTCCGGGAGCTCTTCCAAATACTGTTCCACCCTCTGCTCGAAGAGCCCTGCGGCAGACGGAGACGGGGATGGGGTGAGCCGTGCCCGGCTGCTCCCGCGGCCCCCGCCCGGCAGCCTCCGCTCACAGCGACCTTCCGGTACACCGGGCAGCATTGCAGGGACGCGTTTCCGCTTTCCCGGGGAGCGCCGGGGGATGCAGGGACGCTGCCGCAATCCGCGGGACCCGGGCGGAACAGCGAAACCTGCGCCGCAGGGGAGACACCCAGCCGTACCTTTAGCCCTGCATTTCCTCAGCTCTCTGTCCTGGATGAAGCCAGCGAACATTTGGGATTCCATGAAAACTTCCAAGAAGCGGCGGATACTCTTGGAGGCCACCGATTTACGGAAAGCCTCCCTTTGGAAGGCACGCTCTCCTTTTTCATTCTGGGTTAGGAACAGGGAATAATGGCCAACTGTCTCCACAAAGAATCGGATAAAAACCTCAGACACTAATCCATTCAGGGTGTTACATTCTGCAAAATAAGGCAGCAATAAGACACCAAAATCAGCTGCTACCAGAGCTGTCAGCATTATCCCCGCAGGGCCAGGCTGTGCATCTCCCGCTTCCCTGATGCCGCGCTAACAACTGGCAGGAGTGGCAGCGGCTCCCTGCACACCTGGATGCACGTGGAGAGGGTGACAGCGCCATAACCACGGGTGCCAGCCTGCAGAATTGGTGTTCCGTGACCAAGAGTCAGCGAGAATTACAAATCCTCAGCAAACAGCTCAGCAAATTAAACATCTGATGGGTGTTTCATCAAAATCAAACCTCCTGTTTTCACTCTTGAGCAAGCTTTCTTCAGAAACTTCTGAATGACTCAGCATTCAAATATTTCTCCTTGAGAATAAGTCTGTACCAAAAACTGATCAAAAAGGGTCTGTTGTAGAATTTGAGTTTTCATCATTTCTGAGATGTTTAAATAGTCTTATATATGTAATACATATGACTAGAAATGAATTTCAAAAACTGAATAGGGGCCTGTTTCATACCTTTTAACCACAGGCATCTCAATTCACCCTGGGCTGTTTTTATCACTGCTGAAGAGAAATATGAACCTTCAGAGACAACCCAACCCATCTTGGACTAAAATTCTTTTCTCATGGTACCTGCTTCTCTCCCCTGAAAATAGCGAGTGCCAAGAGCAACTCCAAACTCAGACACACCCCTAAACCTGGAGAATTATCTGGATTGAGTTAGGGCCAAGTTAACTGCAAACCTCTGTCTGAGCAAAGGTTCAGAGGGACCCACGGGAGTCCTTGTCATTTACAAAGAAATTAAAACAAATCACAGGTGAGGCATCACTGTGGGTCGATGCCGTCAGTCTCATTCTCCCTGTGTGCTCAGAGACAACCTTTGATGTCACCAAAGGCACTTGACACCTCAAGTCCCATCTTTGTTTCTCCTGCATGGAAAGTCACAATTCCACCTCCCTTTGTTCATTACACAAGTCCCTGTTTCCAAAGGAACTTACCATCATCTGAATCACTATCTGAATCCTGATTTATCAGTTCATTCTTTCTCTCTAGAGCCTGCTCCAGAGCAGCTTGCAATTTTCTAGGCAATAGTGTGTCTTCATCATCCATCTGATAGAGGGGAAAAAAAAATCTTTAAGCCACAATAATCTATTTAGGAACTACAGCAAATACTTTTAGAAGGTTTAGAATTCAGATGAAAAATATTTGCATCTGCTACTGTCATGGCTACATAATAAATATGTAAATAATGAGGATCTATGTGCAACTTACAAATACTTTTAAAAATTTCTTGTCACTCTTAATAAGATTAAAGTCAGGAATGATAATCCAAAGAGCAGGTAAACACAGAAATGTGCAATCAGCTCTTCGCATGACAAAGAGTCCAAATAGCTGTGTTTAACTAAATACACATCATGTGAAGCCTTCCTAGGCGTACACAGAGCTGGTGTAGTTGGTTGTAGGCAGCTCCTATGGTTCTTGACAGTTGCTTTACTGTTTTCTAGTCTGTCTTGTTTTCTGGGTCTTGCCCCTGTTG